CCCCCCTTTTTCTTGATATGCCATATATGGCTGAATTTTTTTCCAGAAAAAGATTTCCTTTTAATTAAGAATCATTTTATATTAAGAGGTCATGTAAATTTAGATAAGTACATATTAATACAAATTTTAAAAAAATAAAAATAAAAATAAATTAGGGTGATTCAAATTTCAGTGCTGATCACTTTTAAGGAGCATCAAAACCATTTCCATGTATCATCAATAGCTAATGAAGTTAGGCTTAATAATCTGATATACGAGAGTCTCGTCAAAAAAATAATCTACAAGTACTAGTCTCAAAGATTAAGATTACCATAACTCTGGTAATTAAATGTGGGACTTGTATAAATGTTTTTATACGGAAAATATTAATATTAATATATCCAAACCAAAAAGCAAGGGAACAATATCACTAATATAGTAATTATTTATCATGAATTGTAAACAATAATTAATAATTAGGTGTTCCTAAACTGGGAAGTCCAGAGAAGCTAAGCCAGGCTGGAGTGTTTGGTTGGGAAGTGACAGATAATCCCAAAACAAGAACCCTAATTTTCTATATTGAAGAAAAAGTTAATGGTACGCCTTTTAAGTGTTTTATTTTACGGACTCCAAATTCTCACTTTGAGAAACATATGTCCCCATGTCGGACTCCTGTTCCTTATCGTAAATCCTAATTTTTTTTCCTCTCATATATATATAATAATTAAAAGTTAGTAATAATTAACAACGTTTTATTATAATTTTAACTAGTGGTCATAAGAGTTCAAAATGATTGAGGGGGGATGGCATAAATTATTAAAATAAGCGCACAATTAATTAAAATGAACTGTTGATCATCAAAACATGATGATGAGCTGATTCAGTGTTATTAGTTTATAAAGGATTAATAATTTATTAATCTCGTGTTTAATTTCAATTTTTTTTAATTGATTGACCAGGCATGATCCTTTTTTTTTTTCATGAGTATTCTTTTGCTGGTACACCATTGTACAAACAGTATATGGTTGATGAGTTGTGCGAAGATGATGATTAATTAGGTTATAAATAAATTATTTAGTATGAAAAGTGGTTAATTAATTAAGTGAAAGTATCGATTAATTAAGTGTGGCGTGTTCGCTAGTACCAAAACGACAGTGTCCCCAAAAAACACATTCATAAAGCGACATTCGTTTTGATAATGGCGACATATGCTCTGGACTTCCACCGGTTTCTAACTCTCGATCCCGATCTTTTCAACAGTGTACCAAACTACCAATACTGTTATGCATATTAATTAATTGTCATATTTAAATTTTAAAAAATGTATCAAAATTTTTCTCTATATACTTTCGAATATGTTGCAGAAAATATTTACAATATTTTATTTGGAAATAGAAATTTGATCGGTTAGCTTCATTGATCAAATATGAGATGTGAAACTTGCCAGGAAAATGGCAAAAAAAAAAAGACTGCCTAAATAGAAAAATTGCGTGCAGGAACCAGTTTATAAAAATTGCTATCAAAATTCGTATTCTTGTTGTCAAAACCCATATTAATATTGTCACAAGTTTTTATTTGTAATTTTTCTACTTTGATGGTTTTTTTTTGGTCATTTTTCTAATTTTTTATTAGCTACAACTTATGCAAAGAGCATATGCGTTGAAATGTAATTCAATACTACCCGGTCCTAATTATAAGACTTTGTTTGCTCAGGTCTTATAGTTAGGATTGGAGATAGTATAACATTTTCTAATGATTTTTTCAAATATATAAATATATACTTGAAATATATACTTGCTTCCAAAATTCTTTTGGTTATTTAAATAATTGCAAACGAAAATTATTAGCATATGCATGCGTTTGCGTTTTAAACAAAAAGAAAGGAGTCTGAAGAATGAAGAATACCACATGACAGGTTCTGACAAAGTCGCCTCCCAGTGTTTCCCTGTTGCCCGGGGCACAAGCATCCCTTGTGGAAGTGGCGGTGCCTACGTGTGCCTCTGTCTTCTTACATATACTATTCAATATTAATTCATGCACATACCAAATTTTAAAACAATTAGTATCATTTTTTAAATTAATCCGAATTTAGTATTATCATTTAATCTAAAGTTAAATACTCCTTCCAAACTTTGATATAGGAGCTAGTTAGAAAAATGAGAGACACGTACACTAATAACTTGAAGTTGAAAGTGGCGGCTTCATATTTACATGAGAACTTTCGTAACATCATCCTACTATGATGTCATTTATTTATATATTATAATTTGCATGACTTAGTTTTAGAAGTTAATAATATAAATATAACTGCAAGATTATAAGGAAAATGCGGGCTGATAGTATGAGTATTAGACAAAAATTTCACCTTCACGGTTATGAAAAAAAAGAGAATCTTTCATCATATTATCTCTTAACTTCGTTCTTAATATAAGAATTAGATTGACATTCAATTTAATTCTAAATATAAACCTCAATCAATTTTCTTTATCATATTTATCCTTTTTTTAAAAAAATTCCTTATAGTAGTTGCAATTAAAGGTTTATTAAATGATAGTTTTAGCTAATATTTCATCCATTTCTTATTATAAGATCCAATTTTTTTAATTAGTTTGTCCCTTTTTATAAGATCTCTTTTGGGTTTGTATAAACAATAAATGTATTTTTACCCACTTTACCCTTAGTTAATATACTCTCTCTTATTATCTTTTTCCAATACATTCTCTCCCATTTTTTTTCTCATTCACACCTACCCACTTATAAATAAGGGCATATTCGGGAGAAAAAAGAGAGAGAGTACATTTTCAACATATTTATTACTTTTAATTAATTTTAAAAGTTTTTTAAAATCATAATATAGTTAAGTGGATCTTGTAATAAGGGATAGAGGGAGTAAACATGGTTAGTATGAGCATTTTAATAAAGACAACACCTATTTATTACAAATAACTAACTTAACTAATTTTTTTTAATCCCTTTAAATTAGTGAACAGGATCTTGTATTAAAAAAGATGGGAGCTAGCGTCTCATATTTTTATAGATATGTTACCGTTTATATTAATGTAATACCCTTTGGCCAATTTTCCTTGGCATTGGCATCTGATGTTACAATCGTCATACTCTAATGTACATTATTTGATTTTCTTCGTATTTTTTATGATACCCGGAATTCTGAGCATATCATATCATTAAATATGGTTTTAGATTTGGTTCTCTGTGACGTTGACATCCACGTGGATTGGCTTTTTCTCTCAGAAGCAACTAACGGACAAAATGACACGTAGGATGAAACGGCGATGCTCCTCCCATAAACGACGCCTTCCCCAATCAAAACGTTACCCATCGCCTTCACATTAACGCCTCTCCTCTTCTACTCATTTCCCTTTCAATGAAAGAAAATTATCCATAAATCCAGAAATTAAATACATATATACTCCTCCGGTCCTTAATATAGGACCCAATTTTTAAGTTGGTTTTGGTCCTAAATATAGGACCCATTTCTCATATTTATTAATTTTCTCTAAATTATCCCTATGGATACTCCCTCAACCATAATCAAGTAGAAGAAGGAGATGGAGTATTAAAAAAGATGATTGTGGTATTTTAGAAAAAATGTGTCACTTTTCTTATAATTAACTAACTTACCTAACTTCTTTAATCTAATCAAATTAGTTAAATGGATCATATATTAAGGACCGGAGGAGTATCTCAAAAAATGATATATTTGCAAGTTAAACTTATGTATATATAAGATAAACTTGCATGCTCACAATACATCTAAAATTTAATAATTTATGTTTATAAATAAAATACTTTCATACTTTTAAGTGAAATAGTGTTATTTACCATTAAACTGGTAAAAAAAATGATTTTTTTGATCCCTCTCTAATGCTATATTCAACTTTCTTACATGAAACCTATGGATAATTTTCTCTTTCAATAATGCCGTGGAAGGCAAAACACAATACTACTTTCTCATCCCCTCTTCCTCTCTCTTCATAAATAATGTTCGTTGAATCAATAATTCAGTTCTTCAAATCAGACAAATAAATAAGATAGAAGACCTAAGTATTTTCCTATTTAATACCCTTCCATGTCCAAAGAGATACTGCCACTTTTACATGAATAATATTTTTCTTTTTATACCAAAAAAAGTTTATTTCATTGATAGCAATAATAAATCTTTTTTGAGGTGATGAGAGTAAATTGGTAATAGTAGGCACCTCCCAACAAGATTTATTATGCGCGTAAGTATTAGAACGATTAGTGCCTTTTTTTCCCAAAAAAAAAAATTAAATTGATCTAATGTTGCCGACTACCTGATGATTCCTAAAAAACAATTGATTTGTAATTTATTATATTACTTGATGAAGTTACTTCTACGGATCACAATTGTTTATTGTTCTTAAGAATGCAACAGAATTTAGATTTTATTCTCAGGGTTGTGCATGAGGATTGAGGATTGAGGAATGATCCAAAACTGGACTTATCATCAACCGGGCTCTCACAAGAGACATTTGTGTGAAACGAGGGAGGGAAAATTGGGAAAAAAAAAGACATGCTTTTGTATTTTTGTTTCCCAAAAGTGAATGGGACAGAACATGAAGCTGGCATTATGGGAGCTTGCAAACACACGAACACATGTATTTGTGAAGAACAAAGCAATCCACAGCCAAACTTACCGCCTAGGGTTCACAAAAAATTCTTCACTCCAAAACCCAAAAAAAGACTGCAATCAAACTTATCATTTCTCAAAACTTGATGTACCTCCCATGTTTCCTCTTCTTCTTGTACTTCCAGTTTTCCCAGCTTTCCTCTTGGCCTTTTCTGTCTTCACTTTCCAATAAAGAGAGCACACTAATTGTAGTTTCTACACTAAACAAATTTCAATGCACAGTCTTCTTACTATTCTGTACCAGCTAAGCATGCACTTAAATGATGAGGAGTTCAAGTAAATTAGTAATTTAATTTCTATAGACATATAGTTGCACTTTAAGGAATGCCACAAGACAACAAACATAAACCCCATTCCCAGTTTAAGTTGAAGAATTTAAAATGTGGACCCCTCTGTCCTCTATATATATCTTCAGCGATCTATGCCCCTGCCAGTCAAGCTCTTCTTTGTGCCAAGATATATTCAAGCCACCACAAGAAAATCCTATCTATTTTCTTGCTATCCTTCAAACTGCTAGCTTCAAATGAGGCCTTCTTTCGTTTTTTCTCTCCTGCTTGTGTCTCTCCTCCTTGCTAAGGTTCAAGGTAAATAATCACAAGATTCAGCAGTGAGAACTTCAGTTAAGACTTCTTTTTTCTGTTATTTAGCAGATGGGAGTTTCTGATTTTCCTTTATTTTTTCCATAGGGATTCGCTGGGACAGAGAGTCTCTAACAGTTCAGAAACAAGCACAACATGTAAGTTCTAATTACTTTTGAAGTTTGGTGCAGCTTTATGGGTCTGTTTCTTCATAAGTTTTAGCCTTCTTTTCAATCATACTTAAATGTAAAAGTTCACCTTTTCTGACTGCAGGATGAAGAAAGTACCTCGATGGAAAAAAGCAATGGAGAAGCTGAGGAGGTTATTCTCTGCAAAGACGACCAATGCACAGGTACCCTGAAGAGAAGACTCTCTAGAGTATCAAGAAAATCACTTAAATGGTTACCTCGAATTCATGAAGATTACTATGGACCCAGACACCATAGATCCAGACACCATTAGTTTTCTTTTTCTTTTCTTTTTTCTTTTTTATCCTTCTTCTTAACATAAGCATTCTTCATGACCTCAGAAACGATGCCTTGTAACTCTCGAGCAAAATTTGTCCCAACAAATCCTAATGACTTATTTTTTTTGGTTATACAGAACCATGCAAGACATTCTCGTTTCCTTCCCTTTTCCTGTCAAGCATCATTCAAGAAAATCAATTAGCACTAACCTGTACTCATGTATCTCATAATATTAAGCATCTTCGATATGTTCTTATTGCTGCAGGAAAGATAAAGAGTAGGAAACTTGTTACCACATCCATTTCATCTTCCAACGAACTTTCAAAGGTTGGTTTAGAGATGACAGAAGCTTTATTAACTTATTAGGCATTAACTCAGAATTAAAAAGATCCTCTTTATGATACTATTACATGATCTATGGGCAGAATAAAGTGAAGAAGGAAGAGGATGAAGCTCACTCCTCTCTAAATGGCAATACTAGAAGGGTGAAACTTGATGGGGAACAAGAGGAAATAAAAGTTCAAACTTTGCCTACTTCAGAGCACCGGGGGCTCCATCATGAGCAGTATCCGGACCTTGTAGACATAACTGAGATGGATTATTCTCCAGCAAGGAGAAAGCCTCCAATACACAATTGAGTCTGGGGAAAAGGGAACAAGCAACTAGAGAAAGGGACAAAAGTTTTCAAGCTTAGCATATTAATAAAATATAGGCCAGAGAAGGTTGGACAGCATTACAGAAATGCTGCAGTTTTTCTAGGAATGATGACTTGTACATTATATAATATAATATTCTATTTTCATTATTGATTAATAATATCATTAGTATTTTAAGTGTTTGTCTATTTGATGATTAAGTTATCATGAGTATAATTAGGGTAGCTTTTCTTCTCTAGGTTCCTTAAACCCCGAGAAAGAAAGTGACATCAGTTTTCTTTCTTTATGCATCGTCAAAGCGTGCCTTTTGTCAGAACCTTCAAAGAACATAATCGGGGACCAAATTATTCAAAGATCTAAAAGTAAACATCTTTTAGTTTTGATCTTTGTTATACTATGAGAAGCCGAAAAGACACGTGCCCTTCTTTTGCTCCCTTAGAAAAAACTTTCCGCAACACACAGTTCATAAAGTAGATTTATATGACCCCTATTGAATATTTTCAAATGCACAATTAAATTCGGAGTGATCCATTTTCCCTTACTAGTTCATCATTCATTTCCAGTTTTATTTCATCTGATCTCAAATTATTTAATCAGCACGTCAGCCATCGAATCAGATAGAGCCCAGAGAGAAGCATATATGGCATATACAACGTGTATGTATTCTATTAAATAGGATATGTTTTTTCATGTTCAAAAAAGAATCATACAAGACGATGTGACTGTGTAAGACTCAACTCAACTCATTTTTACATTCATGTTTTTTCTTAATATAGCACATATTAAGAACAATATTAACATTTAGTTTAGATGCTTAGAGTTAAGGAAACACGAGACTAATTAAAAATGAATTAGTTGCGATTGTTTGAAGATTTGGTGGGAAATTAGCATGAACATTGCAAGGAAAGACCAAGTAGACAAAAACAGTCTCCGCTAAAAAACAAAAAGACATTTCCATGAAACAAGATTCAGTCATGGGATTTGAGGAGCACAAAGACAACCCATTGAGGCATTTTGTCAACCATGTGAAAGCCAAGAGTTAAAGGTATTAACATACATATTCTCATACCCTTTTAAGCTTCGGCAGAGGTAAGATTGAATTGGTTGATAAGCACAATCTCAGCATTAATTGTAGGAGCACCATGTGGGAAGAAAGAAGAAGCGGAGATGACTGGTGTGAAAACTTACCAAGACTCTCCCACAAAACTCCTCTCTGTGTGGGGGACCTATAGTCCATGAAAGAGAGATAATGAAGAAGGAAATTGGGAATAATGGAGCGAGAGAGATCAGGAAGAGAGAATGGCTTTGGGGTTGAAGAAAGTAGGTGGGGGTACATTAATTAAGTAATGGACTAATGTCTTGCTCCACAGAAACCAAATGGGTCCACTATGTTTCAGCTATTGAATGCAACGACATGCATGAAAGGTCGTCGTTTTCATGTGTCAAAGGGGGCTCAAGTGGTGTGTGATGGGTCGTTTATACTGTTGGAGGTGGTCCATTTTGGTGGCCGAGATTGCGTTGGACCACATATTTTTCTTCTAAAAATGCATTTAGGTTGCTGCCATTGGGTTACTGTTGTCTGGTCACGATAACAAAACAATGGAATTCATTGTGCTTCACGTATGAGTCTATCCAGCAAAATAAAGATTGGTTTTTCAGGCTCAAAGTTTCAAAATTTTCATGCTGCATCTTATTGATTGTCGAAATCTGTTGTCGGGTAATTAGGATATTTTAATACTCCTCCGGTCCTTATTATAAGACCCCATTTGACTTTTTATTTGGTTCTAATTATAAGACCCCAATCCATTTTGTCTCTTATATTTATGCATTTTTTTCCAAGATAATCCTTCTAATAATGATAGTTTTAGCCAATATACTTAATTAGCAAGGATATTTTAGGAATGACAACACTTAGTTATTATAAATAACCAACTTAACTTACTTCCTTAATCTCCTTAAATAAGTCAATTGGGTCTTATAATTAGGACCGGAGGAGTATCATAATTGAGTTATTGATCCCAATGGAAAACTGTTGTCCATTTAGGCCTTTTCTCTGGATATCGCATCAATTGCTGCGTCGCGGAGCTTATGAATATGCTTTTTGGACAGAAATGTTAATGTGTTGAGCTGGATAAGATCAATGGGGTGATCTCATGAACCCCATACCCTTGTTTTCGAACCGGCTTTCCGATTCTCTTGATGGTTCTCCGGTTGGTGATGGTATACATGACTTTTTTTTTTTCCCCACACCACAAGAAAAGAAAAGTTCTTTTTTAATTAGAAGACTTAAAGGCTAATGTATTATTTCTAACTTTCTATATGCTTTTAATTTTTTACTACGTATTAGTCTTTTATTAAAACAAATTTTATTCGAGATACTGTTAAACATTAAATACTCCTCCGGTCCTTAATATAAGACCCATTTAACTAATTTGATTAGATTAAGGAAGTTAGGTAAATTAGTTAATTATAAGAAAATTGACACATTTTTCCTAAAACACCATAATCATCTTTTTTAATACCCCTCTCCCTCTTCTATTTGATTATGGTTGAGGGAGTATCTATAGGGGTAATTTAGAGAAAATTGATAAATATGATAAATGGGTCTTATATTTAGGACCAAAATCAACTTAAAAATTGGGTCCTATATTAAGGACCGGAGGAGTAGAAACATATCTTTCAACATGAATTTAAGTTTTAATTTATTATATTGTGAGAAACTAACCCTATACTTCTTTTTCATTAGAACCAATTCCCTTGGGTATACTCTTCTGGTCCTATTTATAAAATACTTCCAATATTTTTCACACAGACTAAAAAAAATCTTAAATTACATTAACTCTATTAAAATTTAGTAACTTTCTAATTTTACCTCTATTTAATATATAAAAAAAGTAACTATTTATGTTATAATAAATGAAAGATAAAATAGTTCATTCATTGATTTATAAATAGAACAAAAAAATTTCTCTCTAACCTATAAATAAGACCAAAGGAGTATGTTTTTAATTTTAGACATGGCTAAAGTAGGGGAAAATATTTTATTTGCAGACGAAACTAACAAGCCAACCACCGCTCTTTGGTTCTCATGAGATCGTTAGAGGTTGCTTAGACCGGAGGAAGTATTCATTTTTGTACTCAAAGTTGTACACAAAAATACATTTTTAGCTCCTTGAGTTATGGTATTAAGAAAGGAACAAAAATATATATTTGGCCATGTTTTATGAGTTAAATGATTAGTTGGCAGGGAAAATTAAGAAGTTAAACGATTGAAAAAATAAACTTGAGATACCAAAACAAAACAGATTACACATTCAAAGGATCAAAACTATACTTATTCCAGAGTATTTCTACCTCCAATCTTAATATAAGAGTTTGTTCAATAGTTGGATTTGATTGTAAATATAAAACCTCAATTCATTTTATTTTAAAAACTTATAATTTTTTTCTAAAAATTTTCTTTGATTGTAAAATTTTCTAACAAATAATAGTTTTAACTTTCAATGCACATAATTAAATAAGATAGTTTAAAAACTCCACACATATTTATTATAAATAATTAATTTAATTAATTGTATTTAATATTTTTAAATTAATTATCTAAATCTTATACTAAGGAATGTAGGTAGTATTTAAATCAAAATTTCTTTTTCTTTAATTAGTGGACTAAATTCTATCTCTGTTTCTTTTTTTAACATAAATTCAAAGTTGTTCACTTTTTTAACCCCTCCGCAAACATATCCGCTAAATGCGCTCTAGCAACTCAAGATAGACCCGAGCCCAGCACAGCTCAGCCCATTGGCCCACACATTGGTCCATCTCAATCCCATATTCGTGGGCTGCTGAAGCATAGCTGGATATTTGGGTTACACCAAAAGCAAGAAAAGAAACATAACGGTATAAATGGGAAGGTTCATGTTGGCGTTGTCATTTTAAAAAACTGATGTTTCTTATTCTTCTCGTATGAGACACCACTCCTTGTCTCCTCACGTTGTCTGGTTCTGTATATATGCAAAGTAGATACTCTTCCGGTCCTATATATAAAACCTAATTGTTGAGTTGGTTTTGATCTTAAATATAAGACATATTTCTCATATTTATTAATTTTCTCTAAATTACTCCTATGGATACTCCCTCAACCATAATCAAATAAAATAGGAAGATGGGGTATTAAGAAATATGATAATGGTATTTTAGGAAAAATATGTCATATTTCTTTTTTTTTTTTTTGATAGCAAAAGGAAACCTTAAACTAGCCCTATGTGACCGCTATTTGTAGCTTTGCGATCTGTCGCCAAAATAAAAGATAACTCCCGGGGTACGTCGGTAACCACATGAAAACCACTTGTTGCATCAAGCCCTTGCTTAGCGAGGAAGTCAGCCGCCTTGTTAAAATCCCTGTTCACGTAGACAACCTTCACCTCCCAATCCCTGTTCATCAACGAACGAATCTCGCAAACAACGTCATAGTCATAGTGGTGTTCCTCCGCTTCGGCTGTAATAAGCTCAATAGCGTTGTCTGAATCAGTTTCTAAGATAATTCGACGGTACCCACTGTCCCAAGCAAGCTTCAGTCCATGCAAGCATCCCCAGAGTTCTGCATGAAGTGCATCCCCATCGTCCAGGTTATGCACAAAGCCCCGTATAAATTTTCCTTCTATATTTCGCAGCAGTCCACCACAAGCACAATTGCGGTAGATAGAGGAAGAGGCCCCGTCCACATTAATTTTAATCCAACCTCGTGCCGGAGGTTGCCATCCCTTTTCCTTAGCACGGCGGCGAATCTCTGGAAGTGGCGTACCCGAAAGAGCTTCCTGGTGCTGTTTAAGAATTGCTAGCGTCGTAACCACGTTAGTAATTATGTCTTCATTGGACACCTTTTTCCCTTCAAAAATATAAAGGTTCCGGCGACGCCAAAGCCACCAACAGACCATAGCGAAAGTGTTCTTCCAGTTGTCATCATTAAATTGCTTTGTTGTAAGATTCCAGCGAAGCCAATCATTAAAACTCAACACGCAGAACTTTCGCCAAATAGGGGAAGGTACAAGTTTTTGCCACAGGAGTCGGGTCATATGACAGTCCCGAAAGGCATGAATGAAATCCTCAGGGTCTTGTTTACAAATGGAGCAGCGATCATCCTCGCTCATTCCTCGTTTCCTTCTAATAGTGTTCGTTAGGAGACTCTTACGAGTAGCCAGCCACATCATAGATCTACATCGTTGAGGGATACGTAGTCTCCAAATTTTCTCCCAAAGAGGGTCTGACTCCATACCAGCAGTCGAAAGGAGTTCATAAGCTGACTTGATTGAGAAGATTCCGCTATTCTCATGTTTCCATCTCACTGTGTTTCTATTGGGAGCAATCTCCAGATTTTCCTCAACCTTTTTCCATGTCCTCTTTATTCCTAACCAGACGTTAGATCCACCTCTCGCAATATCAATCCTTGGCATAAGGTCGTTGCCACAACGATATTTGTCACGAACAACTTTGACCCAGAAATCATTACGGCAATTAATGAGTTTCCATCCTAGCTTCATGAGGTGAGCTTGATTCTGCAATCTGGCGTGCCTCAATCCAAGTCCTCCTTTTGATTTCGGTTTACAAACCGAGTCCCAAGCAACCAACGAAATCTTTTTCTGCTCTTCTGTACTGCCCCATAGAAATTGCTTATTAAGTTTGTCAAGGGTCTCACAAGAAGCCGCTGTGAGTAGAGACGTTTGCATGACATATTTCTTATAATTAACTAACTTACCTAACTTCCTTAATTTAATTAAATTAGTTAAATGAATTTTATATTAAAGACCGGAAGAGTACTTTTTTTTTGCCCATCTTGTTCACATGTGATCCTTTTCTCCACAGTCCACAGAAGCAAACCAATAATTTCTCTTTATTAAAAAAAAAAAAAGCTGGGTCAGCATCTCTTGGAATCATTTAATTCATGTCCAAATGAACAGGGTTTATCAACAAAGATTGGATCTAGTGAAATATGTTAATCTTTTACAATGTACTACTGTTAATAAATTAAAGTTTGGATTCTTATTAGAAAGTGTCCACATTTAGCATATATGGTTTTACAAAACTACCTCTCTACTCTAGATTTATAATCCCATTGTTAACTCCTCTCCAAATTTTTTTTTGGGTCCATGTTATTAAAACAATTTCTAAATTTTTTTTTTCTATTTATAAGACGTTTTGCCAAATCTAGGTTATGTTTGATATTTACTACTATTTTCTTTAAAAAACTGGCCCTAAAAAGTTCTTGAGGTTGCATTTGATTAATTAAGATAGAATGTGCGCGATTAAAAAATTGCAGTGAAAATAATTTGCGTAAAGATGCTGTCATTTTAGAAACAGTAATTGGTTTTTTTAATTTGTTACTACTAACTTTATTTTTTGGAATAGGGAAAAGCATGTTATTTAAGAACTAGTTGACTAATTTGAGTAGATTAACTAACTTATAATAAATAGGTATTATCTTTCCTAAAATATTCTTACTAATTAAGTGTATTGGCTAGAACTAATATTATTGCAATGACTATTTTAAAAAAAATGGATAAATATGAAAGACAAAGTGAATTGAGATTTTATATTTAGAACCAAAATAAAAGTTAAATAAGTTCTTATATTAAGAATTGGAGGTAATAATTTTTTTAAAAATCTGTATGCATAAGTTTATTATACTTTTATTGTTGGCCCAAAAAACACTTATTGTACTTTTCTCTTATTTCAATTTTTAAGTAATTGCTTAATACTATCTCTCATCTTAAATATAAAAGATTGTAAAAATTTGATTTGGTACCAAAGATAAAATTTTAATTCATTTTCATGTCCCATATTTTTTTAAATTTTTTTTAGAGTAGTCTCTGATTATACATGTTGAATGGTTTTCATTTTACTACACATATGATTAACAAATATATTTTAAATAATACAACACTCATTTATTATAAATAACTAATTTAATTAATTTAATTATTCATAAACTAATCATTTCATTTCATTATTATATTAACAATGAGAGATAATATTAAAGAACTACCACTCATTAGTTACTCACTAAAGGAAGACAACTAAAACAGTTAATTGAAACGAGTGAGAGTAATAAATAGTGTAATTTATCTTAAATAACGTGATCGAACCATTTAATGCCGAATATTTTTTTTTGCCAGAAGAATAATTTGGGGATGATAAACTTTAACAGTTTAACTATCATGTTGGTCCCCTTTAAATCTTTGAAGTACGGAGTTGCTAGATACTCTTCTAGTCCTATTTATAGAGTAGAAAAAGAATTTTTTTGTTCTGTTTATAAGTTATTTTATTAAATTTTTAGTGTGAATGTACTATTTGTCTTTCATCTATTATAATGTAGGTAGCTATTTCTTTGAAAGTTACATGTATTAAATATGGGTAAAGTTAAAAAATTATTATATTTTAATAAAGAGTTAATACATTTTAAGATTTTTTTTTGTCTGTGTAAAATATGTTAGAAGCAGCTTATAAATAGGATTAGAAAAGTAATCAATGAAGAAATATGCAATGATTGGTTAGGAAAAAACAACTGGTTGATACTACTAATTTATTATTAAGATTTTTTGATAAATTTTTTTGAAATCCCATAGTAAGTCTTCCTAATTATTTTTTTACGAAACTTTTTCCCAATTTTCTCTAAATATTACTTGCTCTGTCTATAAGTTTTAATTTTTTGAATGGATCTCATAATTTTTATAAGGTACATTTTTAAAATGTTTAAATATTTTATGTACTTTTTTATCTCTACTGATAATTAATCATATGTATCACTCATTTTTTTTCTTTTCATTCTCTTATGTATTTTTCCCCACCATTTTCTTTTCCACTCACATATTCATAAATTAGAATGTTTTTAAAAAATAAATTATATTTTTTGTATTTAGTATTTTTAATTAATTTTTTAATTTACATAACTTAGTTATTCTAAGCTAATAAAAATAACTGACAAACAGTTGTTTATAAAACAAGAACAACTGGAGAAACTATTGACAATTGATCAATCAAAATTTGAAAAAAAAAAAAGGAAAAAAATTGACGGCGACTGGGCCATAAGCATTTTATTATAGATTTGTTGTGGCGTGACTGTAATCATCAGTAAATGGTAGAAAGAGGAATGGGAGGGGCATATATAATCTAGCGTCCTCTAAAGTTGTATATTACCCCCCTGCGCTGTTGCGTGGCTTGATGCGCCCATTTCCTTTGGCCACTCTGGTGAATTTCTCTCCCCGAGCCCTGCAATAAAGCGCCAAGGTAAAGCTTCTACCTTGGCTCCATTTTTACCCCCTCTTCAATCCCGAATCCATCACCCACTTTCACTCCACCTCTCTGCGATACCACTCTGTATTCGTCCTCTGACGAAGCCTTTCAGGATACCCTTTGCTTTTGTTTCTAGGTAGTGTTCAAGTTTTCTCCGTTACTTTGGCCTTTGATTGCTAGCTTTGCGATTGATTTCGCTTCTAATCCCGTGATATGCCCTATGTGACCTATCATTCTCCTGGAATTTCTTGGTGGTTGGTCTGTTGGAATTGTCTTGTTTCGATTAAGGGTTTAGGTATTGTGATTGAGTCTTCTCTTTTCACTTTTAATTTGCTAAACAGTAAGCCTCTGATTGTTGGGTATAGGTAATCGGCATCGGTGCTCTTATCAACGTTTTTTTTTTTTTTTTTGGATAAACAGATCAATGCATGCTGCGTAGATGTTTCAGTTATTGCAAGTTAGTGAAACAAAAACAAAAATTGTTATTTGCAAGTTCGTTTAATTTTATTCCCGTGAATTTGGCCTCTTCAGTTGTCATAGTTGGTCATAAAGAGGGGGGTACTCCAAATAATGTTGAAAGGTATTCAGAACATAATTGAAAAACAATAAACCACATTTGCTGATAGATACAGAGTACACACTAGAAATTCTTTCATCCATTGTTTAGAAAAGCCATCGTTACAATGGCAAAGAGGAGCCAAATTGATTTATTTTTATTATAATTATTTTTTTGTTCTTGTTTGTGCCTGAAGGTCTTCACGTGTTTAATTGCAGCCTGTTATTATTATACCATAGACTTGAAACACGAGCACAATGGACAATAAACACTGAGTTTACCTCTAAGTTTTGTCGAATTGTGATCTCTTCTTGTGGCTCGCAATGGTTACTTTTGGTATGCTTGGTTGCTGGTAACCATTAGTTACAATAGCAGGAAAGGTGGATACTGTGGTTTTCTTAATGCTGTCAATATAGGGTATTCGAGGGTGCGAATGAGCCAAAATTGTCTTTTGGCTGCATGTGCCAAATCATACGTGCATAGTTCCAATAATAGTATCTTTTTTGTGAAGTTATGGGAGCATATCATTATTTTCTACTTTCTTTATTTGGGACTAAACATACTCCTGGGTTGCGTCTTATGATTATGTTTATGCTGCATTCTATTGCCGGCATTTTCATTTGAAGCAATCGAGATTTAGTTCGTTGCAATTTTCTTTTTGCCATTATATCATTAAAATGACCAGCTCCATAAACACATACTGTTGTTGGAGTGTAATCAAAATCTTCATATTTCTATATTGTGGCCTCGTTTTCTCAATTGATTATAAGTTCTGATGTGGCTTTTTTCCCCCTATTTTTTTTAAGTCTTGGTTCAAGTGAGCCTCCAAAATGAGGCTATAGAAGGAGGAGGAGGGATGATTGAGGAATCGGACCAACCATGCATCAAGATCCCTCACTTGAGCCAAGGCTCGTGGGCTCCTTGCTAAAAATCCTTCTTAAACGAAAGTCGACTTAAATTTGTATTTGGGATACTCTGGACATGAACTAGGCTTGAAGTAAACGCATTGAACTCTTGTTCAGTTTGAGATGTTAGGTGTGCTTTCAAGTTAGCTTATTGTAATTTACTTAGGCATTGTATGCGTTACCATATTGGGTGGTGATAACTGTTTTTCTGTGAACTTCTATCTATTTTAGTATGTATTATGGCCTTAGACTGCGTATTGGTAATTTGGTATTGCATTCACATATACTGTCTATTGAGGTTGATGATCCAGTATTTCTGCTTGATTGTAAATTTTTTCAACCTTTTATAGATTTTTAAAAGGTTGAAATCTAGAGAGCATAGTGTCTGTGTACTTTTTCAAATTGGAGTATATATTTCTTTCTTTTTCTTTATGGGGTTAGCATGATTTGTTCAAAACCCTTCTGTCATTGAATGGAAGAAAAAGTAATAGTAAGGGACCACCAAGAGTTTCTGATATTTCCCTGTCTTTTCTCAGGTATCATTGTGGTCAGTGAGGGATGGCGAGTAATGGTACTGCAAAGATCCCTATCAATAATGATAATGAAGGTTCAGAAGCCGCCATTGAGATAAAGATTAAAACATTGGACTCACAAATTTATACTCTCAAAGTGGATAAACAGGTGGCTGTAAATCTTCACTCGTTTTGACTTTCTTTGTTATGCTTGTTGTAGAGTCTTGCACTTTGCTTCTCCGACTGTTGAAGTAAATATGTTTTTGGTGGTCAAAGAAATGAATTTGTTCAGATATTCAAATTTATGAACTCTTGGTGAAGAAATTTCCATTTCTAGAAAATGAACCATTCAAATCTTAAATTTAGTCAATTAAGGTCTGTACTTCAACCTTTTATATTGTTAATTTTCCTCCGTTTTAATATTTTTTGTTTTAAGTTGCTAAATCCTAATTCTGTTAATTTGTTTTTATGATAATGAGAGGCTTCCATCAATCCTATGTGTTATCTTTATCATCATTAAGCTAGCACGTAATGTTTAAAAAATGTGGTTGATATTTAACCATCTGACGCCACCTCTGTCTTCTCTGTTATGTAGATGCCAGTTCCTGCTTTGAAGGAACAAATTGCTTCTGTGACTGGAGTGTTGTCAGAGCGGCAGCGCTTAATTTGCCGAGGAAAAGTTTTGAAGGATGATCAACTCCTTTCTGCCTATCGTATCCCTTCTGTTTTCCTTTCTTCTGTGTTAAAGGAAATTTTAAAAAGAAAGACAGTGTGGCATTATGTTGATAATGGATTTGTAAACATGTGGAGTTTTTCTTTCTCAGACCTTATGTTACTATATCCACAGTATGCATGCCATGCATAAGGCTACCTCAAATGTAGTCGCCTATATATTGAACCATTTTTGTGATTGCACTAGTGGCCTATGTATTGAACCATTTAATCTGTTTGGTATTCTTACTGAATGCGTGGCTTGTCCTTCTACTTTGGTGGAGTTTCTCATATGTTTTAAGGGATTTGGAAGGACTTTAGTGACCAAATTATTGTGCCCGTGGGTAGTTGATGATATTCTCTGATTGCATGTGGCTGGGGCTGAATGCTTGCATGTTCAAGGGCGTTTTCTTCCCTGTATGGGTTATTAACCAGTTTTATAAACTTCTGATAAAATTTGCAGAGTGGAAACTTTTCAGAGGACTCATATCTTAATAGATAATAGATTCATATAGCTCTATTTTTGTGTTCTAATCCGCCTATTTTTTGTGGTTCTTTATTAATGTTAATCTAAAGAATGATGAGACCAACTCTATTTGTATTTATGTCTTGGGAAATAAGAAGCATGGAAAAATTGGTTCTGCCACCTAAATTCAATGGCATATTAGATAGTTTCTCCTCCTCTCATTTAATGCTGTTATAGCATGGTGAATTTGTGGCAGTTATTAAGTGATGGCTCATTGACTCTTTGGGCCTAGTTGACTGATAATGAGGGAAGATTGTCAAGGTTTCGTGCATTCTTTGCAGCTGGTCATTGTGCTAGAATTCAACGATCAAGCTAAATGTTTTAATTAGCAATAAATTATGGTTTCAGCAATACTCTTAGACGTGCTGAGCAGGGAACTTGTTTATTGCCAACGTAACACTTCTCAATTATGCCTCAGCTACAGTGAGATACTTTCAGCTTTTCTTTTCTCGCAGGATGCAGATCCTTAGAAATAATTGAGCATTTCAATATTTAACTGATTAACTAAAAATGAAGCTTTCTCTCTTATGGCTCAAGTTTTGCAAGTGAAAATCTTTCTATTAACACTGCAATGAAAATTAAATTCATATGCCATGACTTGTAACGGCTGACATTTGTTTGGCTGCCATTCTCAAGCTTTCTCACTGTACTTATTCCTTGTAATCATGTCCTTATTATTCCTTCAACATTGGTTTCTTTAAATGAGTATAGACGTTGAAGATGGTCATACCTTACATCTGGTTGTGAGGCAACCTGATCTACCTGGGAGTTTGCCCAATCAATCAGGTATGATTTAATAATGCATACTATCTTTTGTTTTGGTTATAATTAATGTGTTGCCAGCTTTTGCTTAACAGGATTTAATATAAAGCATGGTCCTATTTTCTTTTAGGAGCATACTTCTTTTTGGGTTTATGTTACTTGACCATTAGCAATGATCTTTTGTATCTTGCTGTTGACCCTTTATTATACTTGTCATTGCTTGATAAATGTGTGAGGCAAACTAGGGTGCTAGAGGGTCTTAAGAGACTTAGAGCCTATGCAAAAAGCTCAAACTTGAGCTTTTTTGTAATGTAAGGTTAATGTTGTAAAAAATATAAAAATAGGGTTTATGGTGCTTGAATATTGAAAATTAATGTAAGAATGATTTCCTCATATCTGTGTGTGTGGATTTGTGTTCATATGTGATCCAAAGATTTGGTCATCAATAGAGTACGTTGGCATTATGCAATCCTTGTAGCTCACTCCGCATAATGGGATAAGGATGCTTGTTGTTGCGTGGGGCATTAAGGCATAGCTTAATTAACAGAGACAGCATTATAAGTACTTTCCAGTACTTTGTTTAATATGGTGTGATGTGTCATGTGTGTCACTTGTATGGCCCAGAAGTAATTTGATGTTGAATTAGACATGTATCACCACATAATGGCTGAAGTAACTCTAGCTGCCATGCAAATAAACACTTATAGCACTGAAGCTTGCTGGCTAATATATTCAAATTAACATCATCCGACATTGTCTGACAGAACTGTATGACAAGTTGGTACTAAGAGAATTAATTAATAACCTAATCACTTGTTGTCAGTAGGATACTAGCATGTATCATGTGCCACGAGAATTGGATGAGACAATCAGTTTTGTTCTTCACAATTGACAGATTTTACCTGGTAATAATATCTTATGAGTGGATCTAATTACTAAAATAAGGGTATCATTTAATTTATAATCTCATAATACACATGGTGCATTTAAAAGCTTTTTTTTTCCTGTGCTCAAAATTCTCTAGCGGGTCACTTTTTTTTTTTTTTTTTTTTTTGTGGCTACTTAGTTCCCTCTAGAAGAAAATTTTTCTTCTCACTAGGAAGATATGGTATTTAGTATTTACTGCCGACTATCTTGTGTTGCAGCAACTGATCCACATTCAAGCACAAACAATAGTCACAGTAATCAAATAGCTCCTGGCGTTTTTATTGAAACTTTTAATGTGCCTGTTCAGGGAGATGGGGTTCCTCCAGAAGTTAATAGGGTAAGCTTATATTAGAAGAGACAAGGGGCATGCTTGAGCAGAGGGGATATTATTAATGTTGATTCATTATTGTGCATTCATAGTTTATCTTGTTTTATTCCTGCACAGATTATTTCTGCTATTCTAGGATCTATTGGAATTTCAAATTTTCCAAGTGGTGGTGAAGGGATTGATGTCAGGGTAATTTCAACCTTATCTTGTTCTCCAATTTTTGATATCGTGGTACTATGGCATGTGATTTTGGCAAGCATGATAAATAGTAAAACCTCTCTCCCTCCCTTGTGGAATTTGGAGAATATACACCTGGTTTGCTTGACGCTCAAACTTAGTAAGGTTAAATTAAGGGAAATGAATATGTTCAATAATCTTAATCTTTGATCATAAAAGTGGCATTGATAAAAGACTACAAGAGGATTGGAGGGGAAGGAAGAAAGACAGACAGAAGAGATTGACGAATATTTTGCTTTTTCAAACATTTGTGAGTCTAGGAGATTTAAGCACTTTATAATGGTTGAAAAGTTCCTTCAATTCTGTAGATGTCTTGAAAACTTAACCACTTTGCCACATTTTGTTTCACCTTGTCTTATTGATTTTGTTTTCTATCAATGCTAAAGTCTATCTAGGAGTGTTTCTATATCATTATTCATTGAACATACTTCTGTCATGATGTCTCCATCCTATTCCAATATAAAACTTACATTATATGTTGTTGGGGTGCTGAATTGGCCAAAGGGACATGATTCCCGAGGGCTTGGGAGAACATCAGGTTCTAGTGGTATATCAGATTCATTTCATTCTCCACCTGAACAAGCTGGTTTGCGGAATTCATCTGATAGATTGCGTAATGCATTCGGACTTCCGACGGCAGCTTCCTCTTTGGGATCATTACAGCCTCCTGTATGTTTTAAGCTCTTGATTCCAAAATCTTTGACGATGTTTCTAGATTTGTGATTCGCTTTCCCTTAAACCTCTTTAGAATGTAAAGCATGTTTCTGTTTGGTGAGCAGAAAATAAGCATTTACTTCACTATTTATTTTTCTGATTTTGAAGGTCATTCCTGATTCTTTGACAACTTTATCTCAGTACGTGACTCATCTAAGGCATGAATTTGAAGCCATCGGTAAGTCAGCCATGTTAATTTTATACAACATGTTGGGTTCCAGCTATGTGCTAGTTCCTTGAGAATAATAGCACACCTTTTTATTGGCAGCGAGAGAAGGGGGAAATTGTGCCCAAGCAGCTGAAGCTCATAGGAATGAATCATCAATTTCTTCTTCACCTTCAGGTTCTACATCACAAGGGCTTTTGTCACCTGCGTACTTGGCAGAAGTGTTGCATTCTACCAGACGGATGTTCATTGAACAGGCTAATGAGTGCTTACTTGTAGGTTTTTCCTTTGCAGTGGATGTTGTGATCACTTAGCTGTACAAAAATGGAAAAAATTGTTCATTCTGGCTTTATCATGGTTTCCTTTCCCAAGTTTCTGTTTGTGAGCTATATTGTGCATGATAGAAAAATTAAACTTGATTCATTGTTGAATTTTACAGCAACTTGCAACACAACTTGAGAATCAAGCAAATGTAACTGATCCCCCGTTGCGGTCAAACACTCAGTCTAGGGCTTGGAGGACTGGAGTTCTGTTTTACAATCTTGGTGCGTTTTTACTCGAGCTTGGTCGTACGACCATGGCATTACGTTTGGGTCATGCACCGGTAGGCTTGGTTTCCAATCCTTGTTTCTCGATTAATTAATCTGCTTGTGCCACTGATTAACTTCCTTTGCAGTCTGAAGCTGTAGCTAATGGCGGACCAGCGGTTTTTATATCCTCATCTGGTCCTAACCATATTATGGTTCAGGTTGTTCTTTTCCTATTCTTTCACACATTTGCTTGCTGTGAGGACTATCCTTATGCTTATTGAAATGTTTGTATCCAGCCTCTTCCTTTTCAACCTGGGGCAAGCTTTGCCCCTGCCCCTGCCCCTGCCCCTGCCCCTGTCCCTGTTGGAGCCGTGCAGTCCCCTTCTGGTTTAGGTAGCGGACTTGGTTCAAGTTTCTACCCAAGGCGTATAGATATTCAAATACGGCGAGGTGATTCTCCATGTTCTAGGCTCATTTATTGTGCATTGTGTTCTCAAGTATCTTCTTTAACTTTCCTTTGTTTTTAGGTACATCAACATCCTCAGCTAATGTCAACAGAGAAGAAAATGGGGATGCACAATCTGCCACAGTACAAAGAAATCCTGTTGAAATTTCTGTTAATCAAACAAGCTCTAGACTTCCAGAGGATTTATCTTTTGGTGGGGAGTCAGGAGTACGGATAGTGCCAATTAGAACCATGGTTGCAGCAGTACCTAGCCACTTAGGTCGCAACCCTTCAGAATCTTCTGCTAATTCTATAGGTCTTTACTATCCTGTTATCGGGAGATTTCAGCATGCACCTTCTGGACATGGGAATAGTGACTCAGGATCTCAGTCTGCAGGTCAGCATCATGCTTCGGGTTTTCATGCAGTGCAACAGTCAACGCCTGAATCTACTGGGCAAAGGCAAAGCATGGATGATCCTGCAAGAAATGGTATCATAATGTATCTGACGTTTCAGCAATGATTGTTTCCTTGCATCTGCAGTTTGCAATTTGATCTTCCATCAACTTCCTGTCCTCTGTTGTTTGCGTGTTGTATATTTCCTGTCCTTCGTGGTATCTGTGAATTTACTTTAGTCTGGATGGTAAGTTTGTGGTCATGCTTTAGAAGCATTGTTTCTTTCCCCGTGTAAAAGGGCTGAAGTGAATGTGTCACTACATGCTGTAGACCTTATAAAGAAGTTACTTTAATAACTTCTTATAGATTTCAGCAGCATATAGACTTAGTCCTAATATCTTCAGGATATTTGACTTTTTTGTAATTTCTCATTGGACGATAATGCAGGATCTTCATCGATTCCTACCTTAAGACAGGAACCATCTAATACCCGCAGGGTGAACATCAATATTCTGACGGCTGGTGGACTCCAGAACAACCAAGAATCTGAGAGGCAGATACCCAATAATGTACTTCAATTTATAAGAACACTTTTTCCTGGTGGTGAAGTTCATGTTGAAGATTCTAGTTCACAGGGAACGACTGGTGTTCCTACCTCAGATCATGCTGGACCATCAACAGGTGCTGCTCGTGCCCCAGAGTCAGAGCCCAGAGCTAGTGAGGAAGGCCTATTTTTGTCTAACTTGCTACGTGAGGTCATGCCTCTCATATCACAAGCAGGGTCTGGAACGCATGGAACTCCTCAAGGTGAAAATGCTTCAGACAATCAAACAGCTTCTGATTCTTCCACCCAGGTGAGCTTGCTTTATTGGCTGCCCTACTTATTTTAATGTTGCCAAATACATATGCAGCTGGCTTACTCTTATGCTTGTGGACTTTTACACTTAGTTTGAATATCTCAATGGTTAGAATTGAATCCATGCTTTGCTTGTCCAAAAGTGATTACGATGGTTATGATGCTTGAATTTCTTGAAATGAACCCTAAAGGGACAAATAAGAAGCTGACAAGTGGATCTATTTGCAGGTTGGGATGTCACGCAGACAAAGTGATTCTGAGCCAAGCCCTCCAAATCCTAAACGCCAAAAGGTTAATTTCCTTCTGATTCAAAGACGATATTTGTTCTGTATAATTCTTTGAATTGATTGAACCCGGGAAGGGCTGAAGCTTCTCCGCCTCTTGGTTAGATTGTAGTGGCATGCCACGATACCCATAAAAAAGATCCAATGCTTTTTAAGATATGTTTACGTTGCATTTATAATGCAAGTCGTAAGATGTGGGGTATGCCTATCAGGGTTGCTAGAGAATTTTCTCATCCATTTCCAAAATATTGCAGAACTCTGGTTACCTCCTTAAGATGCATGGCTGCTCGCCCATTTTGGTGCCTGAAGTTATAAATTGCACCAACTGTTGTCTAGTTCTTAGTATTGGGTCCCAGTTAAATTATGGGATAACATTTTGAAGTAGATAATTTGTCAACAATTTTTAAATATATGCTAATTAAGTTTTACCAATCGTAAGGTGATTTCAACAAGTGCATCAGCTGGTTTTTTTTTTTTTGCCCCCTTTCCACTGACTGACTATTTTGGATGACGGCATGGCTTCTTGATGCAGAGGGAGTGATATATATGATCAGTGATAAGGTGCAATCTGATTGTGGAAGATTTGGATCAAAGCAAGCAGGATTCATGGCTGATATATTAAATTGTCAAATTAAGATTATGTGCTTGTCCAGTTATTTCCTCAAGAATGATATGACTTTGTCCAGATGCAGGCAATCTTTAGGAAGTTTATGTACCTTGATTGTGATGTCATCTTGTACAATATGGGGCATTGGATCTGAGCTTCACATAATTTTCTTTGAAAGCAATGGAATGTATAATTATGCTCAATCACACGAGTTTTCTGGGTCTGGCTGCTTATGCATATCCTTCAAATAATAAGGAAAACTTTAGATATCACTAGGTTAATTAAAAGGGACGAGAAATGTATTACTATTATTATATTTAAACAAGTATTCGGGCACTATATATTACACAAAAATGAGAATGTAGTATCAGAATTATCTTAATTTTAATTTCGATGAAGTTTTTATGATGCTAGTATGAAAATGCTATTAACCACGCGTGCTCCGCACCAAATGATCTGATTTTTGCGCTTAGTTTTATCCTATTTGTATAACAATATAGCAGCATCACATTTGACTTTCATTGGCATGGATTGGAGAGTCTAATAGCTATTATGTCGACAGCAAGTTGGCTCTCGGATGACTGAGAATACATATGTTGACCACAGCCCACAGGTTCACTGATGTATTGATGCGTTTGAGACATAGGCATTATATTGGCTTAAGTGAGACCAAGCTCGCCCATTGATGTCACCCACTGTTTTCTTCAGAAACAACCTTGTTCATTGATATAGGTCCTAGGTTCAGGCTGGTCCAATAATGAAACTGTGAGCTACTGATTTTGTTTGCAAGTGGTAACTTAATGTTGTTGCCACATCATTGCGTGATGTATTACGATCAAAAGATGCCAACAGCAACACAAAGACAATGGCGCACCCTAAGTGTGCTTTAACTTTCTCATCCTTTGGGGGGAAAAGGTGAAATAGTTGCAGGAAATGTGATTCAGAGTGGGAAAACATGAAGGCAGCAAGGAGATCAGTTTGAAATTGGCTAAGCTGAATGCAGAGTACTAATATTTTGCCTTTTGCATTATACTATATAAATTTGTCTAGTATGCGAAAAAAAACAGAATAGAGTATCAAAAGTTTGCACATAGTTTCACGAATTTCAAAGATTCAACTTCTTATAGAATCAGAATTTTGAGAACCCCGTCATCCCCACAATTGTGAATTCGGGTGCTCTTCCTTACAGGTTGTGATTGCCCGGTTTCTATCCCTGTTTGGAATCTGGATCTTCAGAAGCTTGTACCATTGTTTGGCATTTAATTGAATGTATACTCATATTTCGTCTTTTCGGCCTAATGCATAAATTATTTGCAACAACTTTACAGCCCAGTAGCAAAAACACTTTACTATTAGTGGAAGGTCACATGCTTGGTTCCCGATTATTAGAAGTCACAGTTTAATCCCACTTATAACTTTAAATTATTAGTATATAAAGCACGTCTTTGGCATATAATTTCCCTATTTGGTAGAATCTGGATTAAGACAACCCCATCATCCACACCCCTTTGAACAGCTAAGGTTCCTTCATAAATAGGGATTGCCAAGTGCCAGTCCTTGTTTGGATTCATTCACTGTTATAAGGGACTCATTTTGCAGATATTACATGCTCCTCCGGTTCTTAATATCGGAGCTAATTAGAAAATTAATATTAGTCTTATATATAAGTTTATTTTATATATTTATCAATTTTTCTCAAATTAATCCTATTAATTTTTTCCTAACAATAATCAAGTAGAAGAATAAAAGAGGGAATTAAGAGAGATGCTTGGGATGTTTTACAACAAATATCATATTAATTAATTTAATTAGTATTTTTAATCTAGTCATATTAATTAACTAGGTTTTATATTAAACATGGGAGAACATAATGCTCAAGGAAAATGCACAGTTGCACTAATTAAAAGCCAAACACATGAATGGTGTTTGCTTTAAAGTACACCAATAACGATGTTGCAACTTCCACAAATTCTGGCAAATGTCAATGTGGGGGGAAATCTTTTGTTTTTGAGTGCTTTTATGATTCAACCAATTGGAACCTGTTTTGTTTGGTTATTGTGGCCAATAGAAATGGAGAAGTGGGATGATGAAGCATCAAAGTGTGACCACATGTCCTTGTCGGAGACCATGAAAGGTCCTTTCTTTCTTAATGTGCTTCCATGTGATTCGTGTTAAGTCAGTCTCTGCCCATGTTTGTGATTCCAAGCGCTTAGCTTTTTTGGTTGGTACAATTATGGTCTTTCCTTTGATGCGATATTTTTTCTTTCTCTTGTGGTACTCATTCGTTTTCTACTCTCCGTTTTTAAGCCATTCATTATTCATCTCTTAAAGTCTATATTCCCTTTTTCTCTTTGACTCAATCTCCATTGTTCATCAACTTCATTCAAAGCTTACAGACTAAGCAGATTCATCAGTTGTTGAGGGATGCAAAGAGACTTTGTCGATAGGTATTTAATTTTGATTTATCTAAATTACTTTTTCCTTTTAAGAAAAAGTGTTCTTAAGGAGTTTTGCGGCTCTCTTATTGATCAATTTCAAAGTTAATTTAGTTGGTAGAGATATCGAATCACATCTATCCCATAATTATGTATATATTTGAATGTTACCATCGATATAATAACTTTGCAAATATTTTAAGAGTAAAGCTACATGCAATACCCTGATTTTTTTACGATGTATTCAACATCGTAATTTTATTTTTAGTACATCTAACACTTTAAAGATTAGGATGCTGCATAAAACTAAAAAAATAATATCAGAATACTGGATATACAAAAAAATAAAATTAAAGTGTTAGATACACTATAAAAAAAATTAGGGTGTTTCATACACTTTAAAAATAAGATTAGGATGTTAGAAATATCTTTAACTGTATTTTTGTAATCGTTATTCTTTGAGAGTTGATGAATTTTCAAGAAAATGCAGATATGAAATCAAGTGTATGACAGCACTTAATAGGCAGAAACGTTGGAAAAACAGAGGCACAGGTGGATCCACCTCAGTTTGGTGCAATCTGTTATTTTTACCACTAACATCATACCAACATGTTGTGTCCTTGTCTCTCCATCATCCTTCCTTCTTTCTTTCTTCTTTCCTTCTTTGAAATGTCAATGTTGATGGGTCCCTAATCACTCTCTCAAATATCGGCGTGCATATGGCAAGCTCATAGATGCACATATACGCACATACAAAGGTGTGCGTAAAGTGCATGTATGTTTATATATATTTCTTGGTCCTATTATAAGACCGCTTTTAAAAAATCCTTATGAAAACACTTTGATAGTTTCAATAACTATTAAATATTTGTTTCATAGATGCTCATATTTAATACGGGTAATGACAGAATAGAAATTAATATGACATTAGAATTTATACGGTCAATGAAAGTAATACTACCTCCGGTCCTCAATATAAGACCCTGTTTGACTTTTATTTTGGTCCTAAATATAAGACCCCAATCCACTTTGTTTCTCATATTTATATACTCCTCTGATCCTTAATATAGGACCCAATTGTTAAGTTGGTTTTGGTCCTAAATATAAGACCCATTTCTCATATTTATCAATTTTCTCTAAATTACCCCTATAGATACTCCCTCAACCATAATCAAGTAAAAGAGGAAAATAGAGTATTAAGAAAGATGATTATGGTATTTTAGGAAAAACGTGTCACATTTCTTATAATTAACTAATTTACCTAACTTCCTTAATCTAATCAAATTAGTTAAATGGGTCTTCTATTAAGGATCGGAGGAGTATTTTTTTTCAAAGTAGCGCTTCTAACAATAATAGTTCTAGTCAATACATTTGATTAGCAAAAATATTTTAAGAAAGACAACACTTATTTAAGACAAATAACTAACTCAACTTACTTTCTTAATCTCCTCAAATTAGTCAACTGACTCTTATAATTAGGACCGGAAGTAGTATTAAAAATCACTTGAATTTTTTTAAAAATTTAATTTTTTTAATTTTTTATTGATATATACATAAATTAGTTGGAAGATTCTTATCATAAGAATAGGAGGGAAAGTGTGTGTGTGTATACATATATGTATGTATGAATATAGTGTTTGAGAGGGAAATGGAATGGAGAAGCATCATATCAAGCTTTATACATGTCTTTGTCAGACAATGCCATTCCAAGAGGTGTTGCCTATTGCAACGAAAAAATTGGGTGTAAACATACTTGATAAGTTTTGTTTTATCTCATTTATTTCTTTTCCATCCACCTCTCATTGCATTATACTAAATTGATAACATTTTCATGAAAGAGGTTTTATAATTGGGATTTTTTTTGGGGGAAAATTCCAGAAAAGGTCCCTCGAATATATAAAATCCCAGATTGGGTCCTGGAATTTTCAAAATGACAGAAAGGGTCAGTGACCCAATCTGTCATTTGGCAAATCAAGAGGAATTGACAATTTTGCCCTCATTTGTATTCATTCACTACAATGATTTAAAGAATCACTATAAGGGTTTAAGCATTACCTAGATTCATGTAGCGAATAACTACTCGCTTTTTCATATTCAGGTGTCTTGTTATTAACTACAACTAATTTTGTAATCATTAGAACAATGTAAGTATTACATAGATTCGTGTAGAGAATAACTACTCACTTTTTTATAGTCAGGCACCTTATTATTAACTACAACTAATCTTGTAATTATTAATTACAACTAATCTTGTAATCACTAGAACAGTATAAGCATTATCTAGATTTGTGTAGAGAATAACTACTCACTTAGTCAGGAGTAAAATTGTCAATTGGTCTTAATTTCACAAATGACAGATTGGGTCACTGACTCTTTCTGTCATTTTAGAAATTCCAAGACCCAATCTGAGATTTCATATATTCAAGGGACCTTTTCTGAAATTTTTCCTTTTTTTGGGGCGTGAGATATTTAATAAAAAAAATTATTATAAGTGAAATATATTTATCTAGTTGAAATTTACCTATATTTAAAGAGGGAGGGGGTACTATAATATTAATATAGCATGTCGTTGAATATTTAAAAATAAAATAAAATAATACGCACGCACTTTATTGAGGGATTCTACAGGGTCAATAAAGTTAAGTGTGAGTCAGGCAAAAAAATAAAGTTGAGTGTGAGAACAGAACATTAATTCAACCAATAAGGCATCGACAAGATTCCTACATGTTAGGCCGTTCTCGCTGGTGGATTGACCATAAATAGCCGTC